TAAGGCAAGATGAGACAATAAATCATAAAGGTTTCGGTGATTCAGAATCTCGGGTCGTTTTATTAGACGTTTTGCAGACATTTGTACACGAAAATGTTTAATCGTTTAGATCTGTTAACTACGAAGATTAGTATCTCACATACAGCTAAAAATCCCGAAAATAAATCTATAAAAAAAAAAATGAAAACGATTGTTATCCTGTAATCGCATCTGATTGGTTCAACCTCAGCAGCGTTGAGAAAAGTAACAGACGTCACGTGATAATCTGTTACGCTTCATCTGCGGTCTAAACAATAATTTATACCTTAATAATGACATCGAAAAACTTTAATAGCGATTGACTTGGAAAATACACAGTAATATTTGCAAACAAAATAATTATTATTTAGACCCATTGTAACTGACCAATTAGAGACAACTATTGTGCCATTCGCCCAGTAGAGGGCGATACTGCACCACTATTCAAAATGACACTCGCGAAATTATATTTAGATCAAAACTGCCTAATTTTACATTTACATTAATTTTACTGAGATTATTTAATTCAGTTGTTTTCTTACACTCAACCCAAAGTGAGAACAGGCATTTAAAATTGATTCGAAATTATTTTTAATATCTATTAATAATAAAAAATGACTTGCATATGCACAGAAATGATCTGTTATTTATGTGACACCCCCTCCATATCGATACCAGGACACAGAAATAAAAACAACAGCAAAAGCAGAAATTTTCCCTCATGTTTTGACTGTAAAATGAGTCACACCTTTCTTACCTGAGCGGTCACGTGATCGCTGAGGAATGAGCTGCAGTCTTGAAGGAAAGAGGGGGAAAAGACAGCCTCCATCCCAGTGTGTGTGTGTGTGTGTGTGTGTATAATGGTTTGTAGGAGTAAAGCTTCTCCTCGACCGACCAGTTTTTCCAGTCTGACTGAGAAGAGCACACAGAGAACAGCTCTTCCACACTGACACGGAGCGAACATGGAACAATAAAACACATAAAACCCCTTCAAGAGGATTCACACAAGACGATTTGAGATCGGTAAGCTATGCTTGACTGTTAAAATACGCTTTTAAGGGGTTTATGTTCTTGTAAACGGTGTTGTTGTAGGTGTGTCACACCTGAGTTCCTCTACCTGTGTGTGTTTTGATGGAGAAACTTCATGGTGATCCTCACCTGCGCGTTTGAGAAGATTTATTCCGGTTTTATCTTTAAAACATGCGTTTAAACTCTCATTAATGTTCTTTAATGATTCTTAGATTTCGTATAAAACGTTTGTCTTATGAAGAAACATTTATGGCTGTAGCTGTTGTTGCTGTGTGGTTCTTTCTTTGGAGGTTGATACTTCATTGTGTTCTTGAGTTTAGCATATGAAGCTTTTAAACAATTCTGAAACCTTTATTTTAGTTTATGAAACCCTCATGTTGCTCTTAGTGAAGTATCAGTTAATGTAGTATTTTTCTTATGAATGTGATAACAGATTATAAACAAAATTTCAGTTTTTGCTTAACATTTGTGCACTAAACATACAGTCGTATAATTTTATTTACTGTGCACTCTGCTTGTTCCATCTTGATTATGCACAAAATGACTTGTCAAGCATACTTTAAATATCCCTCATGAAAACAATACTTTTGTTTGAGGTTTCTGAGACCCCGGATGCTTGAATGCTTGAAATGATACCAAATTTATTTTATAATCAGAAAAAATGGTGCACATGAAACTGTTACAGTTTAAGCATCTTTTGGAGAGCAACATATGCACGTAATATTAACATCTACTGGTTATAATTAATCAGGGTTTTGTCTTGGAAATTTTCGAATTGTGATTTTCAGGCCTTGAAAATTCACTGAAATGAATAAAATTTGAATACCGTGCTTCCATAGTGAATATGTCTTCTACACTGTAAAAAAAAAAAAGTGTATATATATATTCAAGTATTCATTTTACAAGAAAATACTAGTCTTTCTACTTAATTTCATGTTTAATTTATTCAAGGTGTTTCTTGCCATTTCTTTGTAATTATTAATATTTTAGATGCAAAGTCGGCAACACCAAAGCTCCAAAAGTATCAAAAAATGTAACTGGTTTTAGAGGTAAATCCACCTTTGTTCCCTTTAAAAACAGAAATGCTTCTTTGGACACTTATTGTAGGCTTGTAGAAAGTGATGTTGTATCTATATTAAAATCTAAAAGACAATATAAACTTGCACATAATTTGACGGAGACACAATTGTCTGAATTGGAATCACTTAAAAAAGATTCGTCTATAGTTATTCAAAGTGCTGACAAAGGTGGAGCAGTGGTTATTTTAGATCGACAAAACTATGAATTTGAAATTCAGAGACAACTTTCTAATTCAGTTTTTTACAAAAAATTGAGTATGAATCCTTTGGCTCATTACAAAACATCTGTACACAATACTTTAAAACTGTTTGTGGATTCAGGTTTGTTGACAAAAAATGAATATGAATACATGTGTGTTGAGCATCCGATCACACCGGTACTATACACGCTGCCTAAAATTCACAAACCTTATAAGGATATCCCTTCTGGGAGACCCATAGTGGCAGCAATTGGGTCACTTACAGAAAAAATTTCGGCTTTCGTTGATTTTCATTTACAACCTTTAGTCACGTCTTTACCTTCTTATATTAGAGATACGATGGATTTTATCGAACTCATGAATAATGTGACATTACCTGATTATCCGGTCCTTCTAGTCACCATGGATGTTGAATCGCTTTACACCAATGTTCCATTTCAGGGAGGGTTAGAGGCAATAACATTTTTTCTTGATCAACGTCCTTGTCAGGTTCCAAGCACTGTATGTTTGAGTGACTTGGCAAAATTGGTGCTTTCACATAATTATTTTTTCTTTGGGTCAGATTACTATCTGCAGATCTCAGGAGTCAGCATGGGTTCCAAGATGGCCCCAAGTTTTGCATCTTTATTTTGCGGGTTGTTTGAACATCATTTTGTGTTAAATCCTGTGGCGAATGATTTCTTTTTAAAAAATACATTTTTTGATACTTTTGGAGCTTTGGTGTTGCCGACTTTGCATCTAAAATATTTCCACTTGTTTTTTGGTCGAGCACCCAGTTGAGATCGATGTGCGTGCTTTTGCCTGCTCTTCACTTTGTAATTATTAATGAAATTTAATAGCAGTTTTTTCAAGACCATTTTTCAGTGTAGTTATGCTCCTTTGTAATGAAATGTAATTTATTTAATAGAAATAGCTTTTTGTAAATGCAATCCCTCTAAAATAATTGATGAAAATGTCAGTCAATTTTCCAGGCATGGAAAATAAATAGAAGCTGAAATAAAATAAAATCTGAATACACTACATGTTTCCATAGTGAATATAATTTTTGTTTTCTACACTGTAAAAAATGATTTTTCGAAGTTGAAAATATTAGGGCATCCGCTTTAATACTATGGTGGTATTTCTGCTTCGAAATTTCATGTTGAATTTAATGTGCTACTTGCCATTTCTTTGTAAAATGAAAAGTCATTCCTAAAGTTTGTAAAACTCTGATGAGTAAATTCAGAGGAAGTTTCGGTTTTAATGTATAGTATGTTGGCCCATTGACAAGCAGTTCTGGTTACATCTGAGCCGATCATATGTAAACAGAAGCAGACTGTGAGTTATTCGTCCTGTCTGAATGAATGAATGAATGAATGGTGGGTGTAAACGTCACCGGTGGGTTTCTTCTCCCCTGTCAGAATGTCTGGACGTGTTTGGACTCGATTGCTGTTGTTCTTCTGAAATGCATATTGTTCTGCTGTATGTGGGTTAAATTGAACCGCCTCTGTTCTGAAAAGAGCCGTATTACTCACAGAACTGGTTTCCTCTGTGTCCAGAAGGACCGCAAACATTGTGAAATGGAGTGGGTGCAGTTTCTATTGCTTTCTCTTTGAACTACAATTTCGATCTGTACATTTGCTGCAGGTTAGTTTTGGAGGTGTAGCAGATAAACACAGCAGGTCATTTAACATGTCATTTACATTTACATTTATGCATTTGGCAGATGCTTTTATGCAAAGCCATTTACATTGGATTCAAGGTGTACATTTAATAATTTCATGCATTTGCTGGGAATCGAACCCGTGACTTTGGTGTTGCCAGCGCCGTGAGCTACTGTTTAAGCCACAGACATTTTCATTTTATACGTCAAAATGGTTAAAGGGGTCATATGATGCTGCTAAAAAGAACATTATTTTGTGTATTTGGTGTAATGAAATGTGTTTATGCGGTTTAAGGTTCAAAAAACACATTATTTTCCACATACTGTACATTATTGTTTCTCCTCTATGCCCCGCCTTTCTGAAACGCGTCGATTTTTACAAAGCTCATCGGTCTGAAAAGCAAGGTGTGCTGTGATTGGCCAGCTATCCAGTGCATTGTGATTGGCCGAATACCTCAAGCGTGTGACGGAAATGTTACGCCCCTCACCATATTGTGACCCAAGGAATAGCTAATGCTCGATGAAACACACACACACACACATATATATACATATATTCAGTGTATGTTTGTGAATTAAACTGCAGTATTGCATAAAACATTTACGAATAAAGCACTGTTTTCGTCCCATGTGTTCAAGAGAACGAAATCTTCATTTCCTGCGAAACTGCTGCAAATAAGTAATAAAATAATAAAAGGTTGTTGCAACCTAATAAGTCTCTTTTTTCATACCCAGAAATGTATTCATTAAATGTGCTTCTGTCACGTTGTTTTTTTTTTATTGCATTTTTTTCTTATTAAAAAAATCATTCATTGCAATTGAGCACATTTATATTATATGCACATTTAAAAGATTTTATGCACATCTTGGCCTTTCCATCCAGCATTGTTTATGCAATATACCATATTTTGCTTTAAAAATATGTAGATGGAAACATAGATGATGTTATTGGTAATTTAAAATATGTTATTTAAACATAATATTAACAAGGAGATAAGAGCTGTACAGCAAAATATACAAATACCGTATTGTCCCGAATATAAGACGATATTTATTTCTTGGAAATACATCTGAAAAAACGCGGTCGTCTTATATTCGGGGTCTAGACTTTGACATGTCAATAATACACCCACAACACTAGGTGGCGCCAAATTTGAAGACAAAATGTGTTTTACTGAGAGAAAACAAGATTTGGTTTTTAAAAAGCCTTTTTCCAAAAGGTACATCTGGAAAAAGGGGGGGTCGTCTTATATTCGGGCCAATACGGTATTTCAAGCAAAAAACTGTTTTATTTATTACAAATCAATTGCTGTGATAATTAATAGATGTAATGAACTGTATTTCCATTTATTTAAAAAATAGCCTTATTTAAAACTATACTTACGTGATTAAACACAGATTGAGCACACACTTTCATAAGATCATGTAACACACTGCATGGGTTTAAGAAGAGTGACTCAGAGATACTTTCCCAAGATGCCTTGTGCAAATCAGTTTTGCAATTCACTGGATTCAAATTCTCACCCATTTGCTTTACAAGTCAGGAAATTCAAATCCTGGAGTGGTGGCCTTCCAATTCTGGTGAGGGATTTGCTTGTGTTGTGTTGGAGGGAAAGAAGATTTTACTAGCACAACCTGAAGAGAAACATGAGTGAGACTCTCAAAAACACTTTAACCTGAACGCGTCGTCATGTGCATTAAAATAAACTGAATAGTCACTAAAATAATCAATCTAGAAGGAATTAGGTGAGAAATATTTCATCTGAGAACCAGGAACATTTTCTTAATTTACTCCACATTTAATCTGTCTGGAAGAATATTAAACCATTCTTATTTGCAATGTTTCATTCCTAAAGCTTAAAATTCACCATGAAAAAAAATAAAGTCTGAAGTCTCCAACACACACCACCAAAACCTCGTCACTTTACCACACGGACACACACTTTGCAGTGTGCTTCATGAATGCTTGCACCAACGCATCTAGCAAAACTTATTTTTTTAAAGTGCATCGTCCTGTCAGAACACCCATCATCACTTTCATGAAGATGCGTCTGGAAAGTCTTGAATCACTTT